CTCCCCCCCCCTCCCCGGCTTCTGCCCCACACGTAGGGGGTTTCTCAGCCTGACAGTGCTAGCAACAGAGAAAAATCCTCACTTTTGAGGTGCAGCCATCAAAGCACAGAGCTGCTAAGGAAACTAGGTATCTAATTAGGCACCTGTGAAGGTAAGCAGCCTTTGCACAACTAGATAGGATCCTCGGGAAGGGCTTCGGGCAGCAGCCTGTATCGAACAGCCTCATCCCCCCTGTCCTCAGAAATTTGTTGTTTGCTTCCTGGGCGTGAATATTCAAAAGATATCAAAGATCCCCAAATAGTTCTGCTAGTGGTAGTGTGCAACGCAGCCCTTCACAGAAGCAGCACAGTGCCAGGGCTTGACCCTCAGCCTGCTGCCACAAGGAGCCCAGAGGTGCTGCAATCCCCCTCCCCTCCCCAGGCTGATCTACCCCTGCCGCAGCCTCTGCGAGGCCGTCAAGAGAAGCTGCGCACCCGTCATGGCTTGTTACGGCTACCCCTGGCCCGAAATCCTCAACTGCAACAAGTTTCCTGCAGATCATGAACTCTGCATCGCAGCTGTCTCCACAGATGAGAATTCCTCGAGCAGGAGAAGTAAGTTGTTTTTTTTTTCCCCTCGCCTGTTTTCCCATATGTAACACTGAAAGCTCAAAAGAATGGGCCTATGACTTCCTTCTATTGATAATGTTTATGGTTCTAAGCTACATTTAAAAAAAATTATAAATTCTAGTTTCGTTCTCTCTGGGAACACCACCACGTCTAGAAAATTAGCGTAACATCGACTGCAGCTTGTTCCTCTCTCTACTGTATTCACTAGCTCCCTGGGTGCCATCAGACATGCAGGGTTTGGGGCAGGGAGAAGAAATCACTGCAAAATCAAATCCTAATGCCCAGGCACAGCGTGAGAGCTTGTGGTGTGCAGGCTCCAGGCAGTGAGATGTGCTTCCAGCAGAGCTGGAGCCCTCATCTTTCAGCTGTGTCCAGGGTTTAAAAAAAATGCAAAAAGAAATGTTTTGCAAGCCTTCTCTTTAAACATTAGGAAACAACACAAAGGGGTGTGAGCCTCTGCAGACATGAGTTACGTGAGAAAAAAGTCTTCAGGACTGAAAGACTAAATTAAACACCCAGATACTGATGAACACTGGGGGAGATTCAAGAGCAGTTAAGGGGAGAACAGATGCCTCATTTCAGCATCACTGGATGGAGTCTGGCCATACCAATGGCTTTACTGTTTCACCCCAACACGGAGATATTCATTAAGCATTTTCACTGCTGCTTTAGCATGCGGCAACACACACAAGCCTAAATAAAGCACAACAAGCAGCGTCTGCCCCAGCCACAGAAAGGAGAGCTTAACATTTCCCACCCTGGCAGTCTGAGCTGTCTCTCCAGGGACTGGGTAGCTCGAGAGGAAGCACCGCTCGCAAACAGCAAGCCACCACTTGCAGATCTCAAAATTTCATTATGCCTTTTCCAGTGAAGCTTGACATGGGGGTTATAACTAAATTTCTGTCGCAGCAGTACCCCGAGCCAGCTGCAAGGACTGTGAGCTTGAGGAGGCCAGCACTGCTAGGGAGATCCTGGAAAACCTCTGCGCCAATGATTTTGGTGAGTACATCCCTTTTTCCTCTCAGTTGCTGCAGTTCTGTCCAGCAGCCAAGCAGTGGCATAGACAGAAAATGGCTTTGCTATAACAAACTGACTTGGAGGAACTGCAGCTTTTACAGCAGATCCCAGGGTTTTTAGGTCCCAACTTACCTGTTAGGTAGCAGGAGGGCTCAGCTCCAGGCAGCACTGAAGGTGAAGACCTGATTTATTTCTGTGGGCTCTGATTTGGTTTTGGTCTGTGGGCTGCTAAATACAAGTAGTACTCTGGTTTTCCCTTGGAGACCAACATTTCAATCAAACCTTCAGCAAACGCCAAGTTCGCTATTGCAAACTTCAATACTGTTGTTCTAGTAATGTGACACTCCCTCTCCTAGCCCGAGCAGGTGGCAGCACTGGCCCTGCTCAATCAGCTAGCAGGAAGTTTTCAAGATACTGTCCTGAATTCAGGCACACAACCTTCATGGAAAAAAAACCCCAAGTTAAAAATCCTGGGCAGCTGGTGGTCACGTCACCTCCTGAAATCCCAGTTTAGAGAAAATTCAAGCAATTTGCAGGAGATCAGGACTCTGATGCATTCACTTGCTTGTGCCCCTGCTTCCTACAGGGTTTAGTGGTGCTGATACACCTTCGCCACTCTGATGAGGAAAGTGGAGTGAGAACGGTGTTCAGTACTGGTAACTAACCTCAAATGAGAACTTTTACAAGCAAGTAAAAGCAATTACAAGCGCTTGGATGGACGCATCACCACATGACAGAGCCAGCAAGAAAGCCTTGCGTTGGCTGCATGTTTAACTAGGTAGGAGCTATGAAAAGTAAATAGAACTAACAGCTCTCTTTCCAATCCCTGCAGCAGTGAAAATCCGAATCCTGAGGAAGAACATGACCACCACCATCTCCGACTTCGACTTGGATCCCTCCAGGGTGGAGGTCCTGAAGCACGGCCCGCTCCTCAGAACCGAAATCCCCACCAGGCTCCAGCAGTGGCTGGACATAGATGCTACCTGCGTCCACAACATCATGAGAGGCACACACGCAGGGGTCTTTGTTGTATGTGGTGAAGTACAGAGTGACAAAGTGGTGGTGAACAAGGCCTACGCCTGGCAGAAGAAGAACAGGAACCTGCACCAGGCAGTGCGGAGGTGGAAACATCACCGCTGCCCTGAACAGGCTGGCCGGAAGGTCTGAAAAAAATCTTCAATTCCAACAGTATGAAACTGCTCCCTCCCCTATGACTAGAAAACTCCTTTCCCTGGCAGTTGGTGTTTTGGAGATGTACAGCTGGTATTTTTAGGTGATTCAAAGCATAGTCCACAGATAGGGCCTCACTACAGATCCCTGCTTTACTGAGACAGAGCTTAAGGATGCAGATTTAACATATTCCTCCCGCAAGACTCTGCTGATCCAGGATTTGCGATGGATGGCTTTGTGTAGGATCCAGTGTGGCAACAAAGCTGAACTGAACTCTGCAGGCAGACACAAACTAGAAGAGACCTTTAGTAACAGCTCCTTCTAGTTCTCACCATCAAAGCTGAGAGCCGTGTCAGATTCATTATTTCACCTGAGACACTGATGCTGTCCAAGTGCCTGCTTGCTTTCTGTCCAGAGAGATCACATGGAAGTCTCCCCAGCTGCTAAGTGATGCTTTTTGTGTAATGGAGCAAATACTTTACTCTTGTACAGTGTGAGGTAAATTAAGGGGGAGAGGAACGGGCAATGCCCAGCCCCTTAAAAAAATGAATGCTAAACTCTGCTCTTGAGCAGTCACTTGGGCTGTCCCTTCAGCTTGTGTGCTGAGAGTTGATGAGCATCCGCACAGGTAAAAGGAAACAGCCGTTCTGGAGCAGGAAAGGCACAAAGCAGAGAGCTGAGGGTTTCTGCGTAACAGGGAAAACCATTTTTTAACATTAGAAATTCAGTTTGGACCAGAAGAATCTGGTAACTGGGGAACTACTCAGCATATCGAGATATCACAAGAGCCTTGAGAAAGAGCAGAGAGGGAGCAGGACATCAGCTGTTTAAACCTCTGCTTTGGTGTGCAGCAGCTGAGCACAGGAGGTGAGCCCTGAGCACAGCGCAATAGGAGCTACTTGCAGTTCTGATATGGGGGGGAGAAAGGTTACACAGCTGCCTGGCCTTCCACCAGCACGCAAGGAAGATGGAAAAGGTGGCAAAACTCACCAGGTTCTCTCCAGCTCACACTCTCACCCAAGCAGGGACTGTAATTCCCTGCAGGGATAAACACAGCTATAGTTCTACGCTCCAGACCACAGAGCAGAAACCAGAAAATCCCCAAATAAGAAAACAAGTCAGATTTTTACTGCTTAACAAAGCACTGTCCATGGAAAGTTTTCTACACTGGATTAAACTTGGGCCTGAAATAAGAAAATAGGGGGGGAAATGGCTCTGGGAGGAAAACGTTCTGCCTTGTTGATGACGCCTGCAGTCTGGGTTGTGGAGAAAGCCACCCGGTTTGATGGAGACACATTGCCTCCCTGTGCTCGTAAAGCACACCAACAACCCGTGATGCCATCTCCTTCAGATTTGGTGTGGGCTGAGACGAGCGCGCAGACACTCGCAGTGAAATTCAGCTGCACCCTGACATTTGTGCAGTGATTACTTCTATTCCCTGAGGCTCAGAAGAAAAACACAGCGAGATTTCCTATTTTTATTCCTTCCCGCTGCCTTGTCTTGCAAACGGCTGCCCAGTCCACAGAATCCACTGCCAGGTGGTCCCTGCGACGGCAGTTTCTTTCCGAACAGACTGCCTTTGGAAAACACAACACAACGCGTAGAAGCTCTGATGGTTGAAAAGGCTTTGTCTGATATTTGTTTTCCACTAATAGGATTATTTGATTACTAGTGTTTCCTAACTAAAAAGTGCACAGATGGTCTGACTTACAAGCTTTAGAAATGACGTCTCATAGCCAGAGGGTGAAAAAATTAGGGCAGAGACTTTTTCATGGCTCCATGAAATATGCTTGAGTTCAATGCAGATGACTTACCCACATTTGAAAAAAGAAACCACAAGTTCCCCTATGGTGCCTGCTGCCATGCTCCAAAGCACAGAACTCACATTAAATCCCTAACGAGCCATCCGCTGCTGTAGTCCCACTACAGCCTGCTCTGCTGAAAGCAAAGATCACAGACCTGCCACTTATTCCCCTAAATTGGCTCTTGCATGCCGCAACACTATGTGTTAAGCAAAATTCCCAGAAATTCAAGTCCTCCTTTGCTAGTGACTTCTGGGTTTGTCTAACACAAACAAGTTAAATACACACTAATTTAAACAACAGAGGTGGGATAAATTAGGTTTTTTTAAACCAGTTGATTTAGATTGGTACTGTTTGCATAGATAGAGAAGCCTCTGGAAGTCTTTTAAAGTCAGAGCTGGCTCCTGGCAGGTTCATCTGGGAGATAAGAGCCGTCTTGCGACTCTGCAGTTTCTAAATAAGGGACTCCTTATCGGAGGACAAAGGAGAACAGACTCGAGTGGCATCTCAAATGTTGAATGTCCGTCGGTCTCTGCGATACCTCCTCGGGGAGCAAAGCTTCCCCTGCAACTGATGGAGCTTCCGGAGTGACACGTGAAAAGCTGAGGGATTACCCCTGCCTGGACCAACCTGCCTTCTTCAGCACCTTCCTCGCAAGCCAGGATCAACTCTTTTACTTAAATGGTACCAGTGGGGGCAGAGAAGGTGGGAACAGTTTTCCTGAGTGAAAACCTGAGCGACTGCCCCAGACTGTGGTTCTGGTAATGACATCAGTTTTGTGATGGCTGTGGGGTATCAGTTCCAGGTCGGTGGGTCTGAAGGTCAGACAGAAACCCACTTAGAAATTTGCAAACTGTGAGCACCACCTATGTAGAAACGACAAAAGAACTTTGTATATTTTTTCCAGATAGTTACTGCATTAAAGGAGTTTAATAAGAAACCTACCTGATTTATGGCCAAGTGTATAATCTATTGAGAATCAGAAAAAATCCCTCATTTTATATTATTTGAGAAGGCACCTAAAAGACTCTCAGCGCTATCTTTTCAGATACAACAGGTTTTCTCTGACTTTGCAGTAGTAGGAATTTTGTAATCATCTGTCCCCAAAAATTAATTTGTATATTCTCAGTGGATTTCCAGAACACAGAGTTCAATTAATGAGACTTTACCAAGTCACAGCAAAAATCACAGAAAAGTAAAGGAGGTTTTAAAATATCTGAAAGATGGATGTTGTGTGGTGGTGTATCAGATTCACCAGAAAAAAAAAAAGATAAATCTAGACCAGGACGCAAAATGGTGGCAGACATTAAATCTATCATTCCTCCTGCTACTCATTTCCTCAGCACTGAAGCACCAACACTAAATTGCTTTATCGTTATTTATTACCAAAAGTTTGGGGATATCTCGTCCCTTCCTAATACTGAACAGCTTCTTCGAGGTCCTCTTCAGGGATCTGCTGTCTATTCACGGCATTTTTAAAGGGAATCTGAAAAAACTGGAAAGGTTAATCTTCCAAATTCTTCTAAGTGGGCCATCCAGGACCTCTGCGAATACCGTATCAAAACACCTCACGCGAAAATCACCTTTTTTTTTTTTTTTTTAAAATTT